TGCTTTCCAAGATCCAGCCTGAGGGCTTCAAATCCAAACTTCAGTCCCAGATATATTCCAGATATCTGCAGTCAAACACCCCCTGACCACTTAACCCGGTGAAAACATGCTCTTCCCTTTCTGTCTCATCACTCTGGGTGTCATTTTCCAGCTTTCCCAGCAAAGATTTCATCTCTTCATCTCCATCAATGATAAAAATGTTTCACAGCAGCGGACGAAGCGCGGGGCCCCGGGGGAGGGAGGTGGGAATAATGCTCTTTTCTGCTCTCTCCCCATTAACAGCCCCCTCGGAGATCTGCCAGGGAAGCAGTTTGAATCCATCTCATCTGTGCCCTGTTAATTCCTTCTAATGCAAGTTTTAATCAAAATGTCAGGTGGAAGGAAGTCAAATGCCTCGGAGAGATCCGAGTGTGCTCTATCAACACAAGTGCCTCTCTGTCCCAGCCCGGTGATCCTGTCACACAGAGACAGCAGGGCTGGGTGACAACCCTGCTGGCCCTGCCACCAACGCTGGCTGCAGCTCCCCTCTGGAGACATCACAGCACCAGGTGGGACTTGTCCCAGGGATACCACGTGTGGATGGGAACCCATGGGACACCAGCAAGGCCCCCTGAGCAATGCCCTCACCACCTTCTCCAAGCCTAGACCCACTTTTCCCCCTCATCCTCTAGGGAACGGCGTTCCCTCAGGAAGGGGAGGAGCTTTCTGTGATGCTCAGCCCCAAGGTCCATCCCAGGAGGAACTTCCAGTGAGGCAATGGTGGAAACCATGTGGAGCTGAGGGACAATGGTCCCTGAGGAACAGGAGAGCTTTGAGGGCTGAATGAGAAGACTGGAGATGCTCAGCCCCAATGTCTTTTCCTCAGGAAAGGTCCCTGAGGACGGGAGGGAGCTTTCTGTCACGCTCAGTCCCAAGGACCATCCCAGGAGGAGCTTCCAGCATGACAGTGGTGGAAACCATATAGAACTGAGGGACAGGAGACAGTGATCCTTGAGGAATGGTCCCTGAGGAAATGGGAGGAGGGACAAGGGACAATGGTCCCAGAGGAATGGGAGAGCTTTCAGGGCTGGATGAGGAGATTGGAGATGCTCCAATCCAGCTCCAATGTCCATCCCAGGAGGAGCCTTCAGTGTGGCAATGGTGGAACTCATGTGGCCTTGAGGGACAAGGGACAGTGGTCCTGAGGATGGGGAGGAGCTTTCAGGGCTGGATGAGGAGACTGGAGATGCACCAATGTCCATCCCAGGAGGAGTTTCCAGTGTGGCAATGATGTAAACCATGTGGAGCTGAGGGACAGAAGACAGTAATCCCTGAGGAAAGGTCCCTGAGGAAGGGGAGGAGCTTTCAAGGCTGGATGAGGAGACTGGAGATGCTCAGCCCCAGTGTCCATCCCAGAAGGAGCTCCCAGCCGGGCAGCCCGCGTGCCCTGGGATGTGGGGTGGGCTGAGTGCTGTGGGAGGACCAGGGCTCAGGGGCTTCCCTGGCTTGCAGGATCTTTCATCCTCCGTCACCACAAAGCCAGGCCAGATCTGCATTTGCAGCAGCCCACAGAAGCTGCCTCTGTTGTCTTATTTTTGTTATTTTTGAGAGGATATTTTAGCGCTGAGCACATTCCCTCCTGTTGCCATGGCAGCCGTGACAGGGGTTATATACCGTGAGAAAAATACCAAAATTAATGAGTGAGTGAAAGAGCAGCCAAGAGAAAAACAAGGTTAAAAAAAGAGTTAAAACAGTAATAAAAACAATCTCCCAATAATTTGGCAGTGAGCATCCCACAGGCAAGACAGGCGGTGAACATCCGAGCCCTCCGGCTCCTCCGTGGATCCCAGCTGGGGTTGGCTGCCCGCATCCCGTGGCCGGAGCTTCGGCGTGGTCTGAGGGATGCACTGCTCCCACATCATCCCACCGACGCTCCGGATGGGGCTGCACCCACCCAGCTCCTTCCCCCGCAAACCTGCAGCCCTCGGTGACGCAGGAGGCGAGCGGAGGAGAAGTTCTTTAATGTGCTCATTTCCTCGCATTTGGGTTTTGAGGATCTTTTTGTTTTTAATTGTAGAAACAAGCGGATTGTCAGAACATCTGTGTTATTAGCATTTGCTGCCCAAATCCGAGCTGCTGCTTCTCCTGCGGAGCCCAGAGCTGATGAGAGAGAGAACAGAGGAGCCTTTGAACTCCTTGCAGCAGACGGCAGCCAGGTTGCTGCGTGTGCGCGTGTGTTGGGGAGGGGGTATTTATTCTCTTGTAAGGTTCATTTGCTCTCCGTGTTTCCCTTTCTTCTCGCTTTCCCGGAGATTTAGCTGGATGCTCTTCCCTCGCAGGCTTTGTTCTTCTGACAAGGCCCCACCGGCACCACGAAGCAGCTGCCTCCGTGTGATGCCAGAGCAGCCCAGCACGGGGCACCTGGAGCATCCCAGCACGGGGGACCCAGAGCTTGGGGCAAGCCAGAGCCTCCAGCAGCAGCTCCGGGGGCGGTGGCACTGCCAGCCCTGCAGGGTCTCACGGAATAACTCTGCAGACAGAGCTGCAGCCTGAGGGTTTCTTGTTGCTCAGACTGGCTCTGCTTTCTGCGAATGGTGAAGACAAGGTGAGGGTGGGTGACTCATCTGGAACTGGTACATATTAGGATGGAATTCTTCCCTGTGAGGGTGGTGAGACACAGGTTGCCCGGAGAAGCTGTGGGTGCTCCATCCCTGGAAGTGTTTAGGACAAGGCTGGACGGGGCTTGGAGCACTCTGGGATAGTGCAAAGTGTCCCAGCTAGATGAGGGTGGAATGAGACAGTTGTTGAGATCCTTTCCAAACCAAACCATTCTTGGATTCTACAATGACACCCCAGAGAAGGAAGTGCAGGGAATGGCAAAGCTTCCTGCGTTGCCAGAGGGCAAGGAGCGCTCTGGGAGGGGCTTTCAAAGGCAGTGGGGAGGAGGAAGGCAGAGATGGATGAGGCAGCCCTGGGATGCCAGGCCAGCAGTGGCCTGGACATGGTGTCCCCCCAGCCCCCCAGGCCACAGGTGCTGCTGGCACTGTGGAGGGCTCTGCCAGGCTGCTCCTCTGGGCTGCGCAGAGGTGGCTCCTGATGCCAGGACACTTTCCCCCTGCATTCCTAGAACCTGGACCTGTCCCTCAGAAATGTGTCCCAGCAGAGGCTGAGGTGACAGTCACCAGTGTCCCAAAAATCAGCGGCATCCAGTGATCCACGTACATGCCCAGGTCCCCGGCACTCCCCGCGCCGCTGCCGATCGACCGCCCCGTGACTCTTGTGAAATGCAAACCTTTGGTCCCCAGCAATTTCTAAAGTTTGCTGTCCCTGCTCCACGGGCAGCCTCGGATCCACGGGGTCACTCCCTCGGTTTCTCCCTTTGCTCCAGCTCTCCGTCCCTCCAAGGAAGGCTGCCAGTTACTCATCATCAAATCTCATCAAATCTCCCCTTGTCTCCAGAGAATTTCGTTCCCTCTCCCTGCCCTGCTCACGCTGGATCAGCAGGGCACAGCCTGACAAACCCCACAGCTCCTCTCCCTGCCCCAAAGGTGGGCTGTGACCTTCCCTGGCTTCTCACTTCACATCTTCTGCTAAATTGGCTTCATGTGAATTGACACTTGAAAAAAAACCCCAAAAACCCACACACGGACACGGAGGAGCTGAAAGTCTGGGTGGAGAGCTGGGCTTTCCACCCTCAGGGATGACTCTCCATCCCCATTTTCCTGCCTGGTGGGATGCAGCCCTGCCACGGGCTGAGCCCGCTGGTCGCCGGGGGAAAGCGGGGAGATTTGGGAGAAAAACACTGCAATTTTGGGGGGAAAACGAAGTGATTTAGGGGGTGAGATGGAGCCGGGCTGCTCCGAGCAGGCAGGCGCAGCCTCTAGATGGTGCAGTCATGCAGCCGAGCTGAGCATGTGTGCAGCGAAGGGCGCTGCGCAACAGGTTGGCGTAGCTCAGCGGGGAGACGCGCTCCCATCCTCGCTGCGGCGGAGCGGGAAGGACTTTCCAGCATCCTGGCGAGAAATCCGCGCCGCAGCCGGCCCGGAAGGCGGGTGAGGGGCAGCGCCACGGGCTGCGCGACCCTCGGAGGGTGCTGAAGGTTTTTGGCAGGGTCGGGCTGCAGCTCCAGCCCCTGGCAGGGAGCGCGGAGGCGGCGGAGGCAGCGAGGGAAGCGGCAGCGCCGGAACACGCTGTCCGCAGGCCCCCGGGGGACTTTGCTCGGCCAGCCGAGGTGCCGGGGTGAGGAGCCAGCTGAGGGGGAGCAGCTTGTGAAGGCGTCACCAGGTGCGCTGGGAGCTCGCGGATGCTTTTGGGAGCCGCGGGTTCTCCGCGCCTGCTGCGCCCTGAACACCCCGCAATAAATAAACCCGTGATTCACCCAGGTGTGACGGCAGGGCACGGCGGCCACTCCAGCCCCATCAGCGCAGCCAGCAGAGGAGCTTTGCAGCCTGCCCGCAGCCCTTCTGGCCTGCGGGGCCGAGGAGGGCTGGGCACAGTCCCCAGTGAGCTCGGTCCCACGGAGGGACCCTCCCGGCTGCGCTGGCCCGGGTCCCTGGCCCTGTGCGATGAGGTTGTGGGGCTGTGAAGCCCCAGCTGGGAGAATAAACGAGAGATTCAATTATTAAAAGCACCGAGAGACGAGCGAAAAGGGAGAGCCGAGCCGCACGTGTGCGGGCGGGGAGCGGAGGGTCCCCGGGGTGAGGGGGTCCGGGGGGCCGCGGGGACCCCCGCTCGCCACGGGCACGGCGCTGGGCGCGGTGCCGGCAGCCCGGAGCCGGGCGGCTCTGCCCGGCAGCCGCTGCCCGCTCGTCCCGGCAGCCCGGCCAGGCTCGGGATCTGATAAGGAGCCGGAGCTCCACCTCCCCGTGGTGGTGGCGGCGAGAGGCGGAGGCAGCGGCGGGGGGGGGGGGGGGGGGGGGGGGGGACGGGGGGGCGGGGGGGGGGGGGGGGGGGGAAGGGGCCGTGCCTGCGCTGCGCTTCCCCTGCACATCCTCACACACACCGAGGGACGGAGGCGGGCACGGACCGAGCTGCCCACCGGGGCTGCCTCCAGCCTGAGCCGCCGCTCCGCCGGAGGAGCCGCAGCCCCGGCCAGGGGAGGGGGGCGGTTCCCACGGGACATTTATATATATTTTCCCCCCCTCCCCCCTTTTTTTAATTTTTTTTTTTTCTTTTTTTTTTTTTTTTTTTTTTTTTTTTTAATTTTCTTTTCTTTTCCGTTTGGTTTTCATCCGTGGATAACGCTCGAGAGGAGCTGGGGGGGTGGGGGGAGCCCGGTCCCGGCGGGAAGGAGGCGATGGAAACGCCGCGGGACCAGCGCGCAGGGGCTCGGCACGCAGCGCGGAGCCGGCACCATCCAAGTAAGAGCTGCAGCGGGGCCGGGACCCTCGCCCGCAGCCAGGCAGAGGCGCGGGGGGGGGGGGGGGGGGGAG